CAGAGTCTGGCCCCCGACTGACCCGCTGGCCCCTCACCTGCCACCAGGAGCTCCAGGGGGTCACTGGGGGCCGACCACTCGGAGGAGAGGCCGTGTCCACCGTAGCATCTGTACCGGCCCCCATGGACGGTGCCCACCGGGCCCAGGGGGAAGTCGGCCTGAGAGAGCCCCCCCTGGGCCCTCCGGGCAGGTCGCTGGGGGAGGTCCTGTCCCCCCTCCTTGGACAGAGCGAATCTGGCGTAGTCCATGTCAGAGCGACACTGAAGGGTCAGGTTCTGTCCAGAGGTGACGACAGGGCCCTGCGGGGTCAGGAGGGACGGCTTCCCAGACAGCCCTGGGGAGAGACAGATGCCAGGTTGTTGGGACCGCGTCCCCCGTGGACACCCTTCCCGGCCCAGCCCCAGGCCTCGCCTTCTCTGTCTGTGTGTCTGTCCTGTGACCACCACGCTCTCTCTCCTCCTCACGGGGCTCCCCTGGGAGCAGAGACCCCAGGACGTTGTCTTGTCTGCACAAATGTGGGGTCAGGTCGGGACTTCCTCACCTGAGACCAGGAACTTCAGGGGGTCGCTGGGGGCTGACCACACCCAGGGGGTGTCCCTGTTAAGGCCGTAGCATCTGAACGTCCACCCGTGTCCGGGGCTCACGGGGCCCACGGGGAACAGGGCCTGGGTCTGCCCGTTCGGGCTCCGCTGTCCATCCAGAGTCTGAGAGGACTCATTTTCTCCTTCCTTGGTCAGAAGGAACCTGTTAAATCCCTGACGGGAGCCACACTGCAGGGTCACGTTCCCTCCCGAGGTCACCACAGGGCTCGGCAGGGCTGAGAGGCTGGGTTTGTTGTAAGGTCCTAGGAGAGAAGGAGGCAGCTGGATCCCTAGGACTCCCCTCCACCCCCCGCCCAGGGCTGGGCTGTGAGAGGGACACCCCCTGAGAGCAGACCCCCTCCCGAGGGCAGAGCCTGAGGCCCCCGAGAGTCTCTCACCTGTCACCACCAGCTCCAGGGGGTCACTGAGCTCTGACCAGCGAATTCCCCTGAGATAGTAGCACCAATAGCGCCCTGTGTGCTGCTCAGTCATCAGTGAGATGGAGAACTTGGCCTTGTCCCCGGGCTCCAGGGGTTTCTGTCTGTCCCAGGGGACTGAGCTTCCCTCTTTATCCAGATGGAACTCCTGGGCCTCTAGGGGCCCCTGACACCAGATGGTCACGGGGCTCCCCCAGGGGACCACAGAGCCCGGCTCAGCCCAGATGGTGGGTTTGGGGGGAGCCCCTGGAAGGAAATCAGAGGCGGGCTCACCAGGGGTCTGCCCCCAGGCCCTGGCTCTCAGCCCAGACCTCCCAGACTCCCCCTCTATGAGCCCTGAGCTGCCCTCCCCTCCTCAGGGCCTCGGGGTGACCCTTGTCCCCAAGAGAGGAGAGAGCTGGGCCCTGGGGACAGACTCACCAGCCTGCACCTGGGTCCTCAGGCCCACACTCAGCCCTGGAAGAGAGAGCCCTGTGAGAGGTCTGCCCTCAGCTCTGAGCAGCTCCTCTCGTCCCCGGGAGCCTCCTGGGCCCTGGGGTCCCCTGATGGAGCAGGCTGGCTGGGTGGGGGGTCCCTCCAGTCCAGGGCTCCCCCTGCCCCTCCTCATCTCACCGAGGCAGAGCAGGGCGGGGAGGGTGGGGGCCATGGCGTCTCCTCCCTGCGGTCCAGGCCGTGAGGATGGAGGAGACCTGGGTGTCCTCCAGAGAGACAGAGCACAGGGTGTGTCCTCTCCAAGGCTGGGGCTTCCTGTCACGTGGTTGTCATATCAGCCTCCCCGCAGGAAGGGGAACAGCCTCTTCTTGAAAGCCTGGTGTCGTCCCCATGACAGTCCCAGTGTGTTCCTGAGACGCCCCTTCCAGATGAGGACGGCCAGGCTCCTTCCCTCTGCAAGCCTCGCCTCGGGGTCTGCTTCCTCCTCTGCCCCTCCATCAGCAGGTCCCTGGGGTTCCTCACTGTGGCCGGGTCACCAGGCCCTGGAGATGCTTCGGGGAGGATGCCGGCTCCTGCTGCCCTTGGGGCTGAGATCCCCAGAGACACATCGTTTTTTAATTGGAGGATGGTTCCTTCACAGTATGGTGCTCGTTCTGCCACACATCAACATGGATGGGCCATATGTGTCGCGTGGCCCTCCCTCTTGAACCCCCCCTAGGCTGTCACAGAAGCCTGTGTGGGCTCCTGAGTCACACGGCACGTCCCCCGGCGGTGTGTTTCACACGTGCTCTGTGTGTGTTTCCATGCTACTCTATTCCTCACACCCTCTCCTTCCCCGGTGTGTCCACAAGTCTGTCCTTTATGAGGGACGCACGTTCAGCGTCTCCCTGGGGCTCAGTTGAGTCCGCGTGGCCGAGAGCCCAGAGGAGATGCGCAGGGAATCAGGATGGAAACTGACTCCTCCCCTGCCCTGGAGTGGGGAGCCCCCCATCACAGCCCCCTTCAGGGGCGTCTCTCTTTACCCCATCACTGTCCAGCCCGCCTTGCTGGGAACAAGCCCCCGGGGGCTTCCTGCCTCCTCGGGGCCCCGGGGTCCTTGGGCACAGGCTCCTCCGGTCTTGCCATCACCTGCAGGCTTTCGGGGGTGTTGATTGGGGTCAGAGCTCTCACTCTGGTGGGAACAGATGTTCCTATAAACGTGTGCCCGCTGCTCATGGGACCTTGAGCGACGGTGCCCTTTCTCTGCGCCTGAGCTTCCTCCTCTGCATGTTATCCGAACCCCAGCCCTCAGAGGGGCTGTGGGCTCTTGCTGCCGTCATCACGGTTAATTTCCAGACGAGGTGACAGGAGAGGGTGGACGTGATGGGCTCCTGGCTCAGACTGCACCCAAGGGGGCGAGTGTGGTGCCCACCCAGAGCCTCCTCTGCTCCTGACGCTGAGACCTGCTCCGGAGAGTGTTTCTGCAACACGAAACCACAGACAAGTGCAGAAGAGAAGTTCCCCAAATGGAGAGGGAACCACAGCGAAGCGGGGAGAGGTAGGCGGTGTGGCCCCGGCAGCGGGGATCATCTCGGGGTCAGAGGGAGGTCCACCCGTGTGGACACAGAGAGGGACCCATCCTCACAGAAACATAAAGGGAGGCAAGCATGTGGATTATTTCGTAGAAGAACAGGCAGTTACTGAAAAGAGTCGAACAGTTTTGACGTGAACAATCCAGTAGATTCAACATTTTAAAAAAAGTCAGGCAGTCAAGCAGACAGCTGAGCGGCCACATGTGAAGTCGGAGTATAGCACTGAGGGAATGTTCCGGAATGCAGCAGAGAGCGCAGAAAGGCAATTCAGTAGAGGCGGGACTGTGCTGAGGGCCAGTGTGGTGTCTGTCTTAAGTGTCAGAAGCGAAGAAGCTCACGACAGACAGCAGTGGCTGAAGAAATGAATAGCGGAGCCTCCTTTCCTGAGGAGAACCGACCTGGGGAGGGCTGGGGCACATGGATGTACACGTGACACCCGAGGGCGGCCCTGCTGGGCCCGTGACTGAGACTCGGCGCTCCTTACTGAGGGTTAGGGTTCGATCAGGGCTCAGGGATCCAGACGCGGCACACTTTGGCCAAAGACCCCGCACCCTGCAACCGAGAGCCTGTGTGCCGCAGCTGTCAACAGGTGGGCTATTCAAAAGTAACATCTGTATCTTGACCTTTCATATAGATAAAATGAAGGTCAAATTTAAAAAGTATTTCCTACTGAAATGTACAATTTGAAACAGTTTATTCTAACTAAATTTCAGCTGAAAAAAAAAAAATGAAGGCGGATCGGACTGAGACCCTGAAAAGGCGTTCTTGCAAGGGGCGGAAGCCAGAGCTTCATGCAGAACACATCGCCAGCTTCCAGGAGGTTCTGTACCGCCTCCCGCTGTGGGCCGTGCCTCAGCCTCACAGCCGCCAGGTCCTGAGAGAGGAGGGCCCTGGGGGCCTGGATCCCTTAACCTTGACAAGTGTTTTCCTCTCCTTGTACTTGAGTCACCTGCTTGATTCAAAATAGGAAGTGTTCTCAAGTAACTTGATCAAAAGAGAATGAGTGTGAAAGAAGGCATTTCCAGAGGTGCACGTCCTTAGATGCTGACAGTTTTCACACGGGAAGCAATACTCAGAGATGGCAGAGAGACAGTGAGGTGCAACAGAGAGGAACGCGTGGCCGAGATGAGCTTTGGAAAGTTACACAGACACACTTGCACGCACAAACACACCCACACGTGTGCACAGAGACGTGCGCACGCCCACACACGTGTATAAGAGTATCCAGGGTTCTTCAACTGATCGATGTGGTGTGGTGGTGCTCTCCCGGGCCGGGCCTAAGCCGTGCCGGACGAGGGACGGGCGTTCCCAGTGAACGGGTCCGCTCTTCTCGGTCTGTCCGCGGGGCCCCTCGCCTGTCTTTCCCCCTTGCCCCTTGGGGGGTGTTGGGGTGGGGCCTCCGGCCCTGACCTTCGGTCTCCCGTCCCCCGCCTTGGGGTGTCTGGTGGGGCCGTTGGTCTTCGGACACAGCAGATGCGCCTGCTCGCCTTCCTGGCGTGTTGCCCCGCGAGCGGCCCTCCCCGTGGTGGGGAGGGCTGTGCCGCTGCCACGCCACACGCCCCCGCACGGGTGTGTGAGCGTGCCTCGATGGACCCTGGGCGGTGGCCCTGGCGTGCTCCAGGGCGTCCCTCAGGTGCTCGAGGCCGAGCGGTGGTGCCGTTTTCCCTTAACCCCGTGTCCTCCTCGGGTCCCCGCCACGGCGCTGTGCGTGTGTCCCATGAGCGGCTCTCTCTGGGTGGGAGCGGGTCGAGGCGGTGAGAGCATTGTGTGCTCCCCTCGTCGCGGAGGCTGCCCGATGAGGCCTTGCAGGGGGCGGGCGCGGGCTCTGCCCCGGCCCTGGCCGCGCACGCGCTCCTGTGCGTGGTCGTCCGCTTACCGGTACCGCAGACCCCTCCCGCCCAGTTGAGGACTGGCGGCTCCCGGTGTGCCTCCGTGTTGCCCGAAGGAGAGACGGCGCGCCCTCGGTGAGAAAGCCTTCTCTAGCGATCCGAGAGGGAGCCCCAGCCGCTGCCCCTCCCGAGCGCGCAGTGGCCACCGCGGCGACTGCCAGAGCACGTGGGCAGAAAGCTCCCCTCCCCTCCGTGGGAAGCGGGCTGATGGGTGCGCCGGCCCCGCGGTGGGGCCGTGTGCCGCTTGTTGCCTACTGCGGCCTGCGCCTCCCCCCTCCGAGTTGGGGGAGGGTCCCGCTGGGCCCCGCCGGGTGTCTGGCGAGTGGGGGGGCCGTGCGTGTGTGCTGTGTGCGCCAGGCCGCCCCGTGGTGTGAGCCCAGGGGGAAGGGGGTGGTCGCGGCGCGACGCCTGGTGGGCCCCGGCTCCCCCAGCCCCGCAGCCTTGGTGAGGGGGAGGAGCCTGTCGCGCCCGCCCTCGCCCCGGAGCCGCAGCCGGTGGCGGTGTTGTGGGCCCGGTCTGGGCCGCCTCGCTGGAGAGCGTGTCCCCAGGGTGTTGAGCCTCGGGGTCAGACTTGGATGGAAGATTGATCTGTCGTGGATGGATGGATGGATGGACGGATGGAGGAAGGTGGCTGGACGGCAAGCCGGCCCTGGCGGCGGGGCCGGGTTGTGGGGCCCGCTCCAGGGATGGCCGGGAACGGCCGGCGTCCCAGGCGTCGCAGGACCGCCCTCGTGTGTGGGTGGCGGTGGGATCCCGCGCTGGTTTTCCTGGTGGCCCGCTGTGTCCCGGTGTTTTCTGGTCCCCGGGCCGGCGCCCTCGCCCCCGTCCCGCGGCCCCTGCTGCGTCCACCGCTGCCGGCCTTCCTCCTCGTCCCGTGCGTGCGACCCCCTTGTCCCCTCCCACCCCCGTCCCCCGCGGTCTGGGACCGAGCTGGCCTCGCCTCACGTGGGTGTCGTCTCCCGGCCTCTGTCGGCCGGTGGCGGCCCCGGGTGGCGCAGTGCCCCCGGAGCCCTGAGGGGGAGTGGGGCGGGCGGGGGGAAGCCTTCGGCGCACAGCAGGGTTGCGCGTGTGAGGGCTGTGGGGGCCGCCGGTACGCGGCGCGAGAGCGTTCTCCCGGGCCGGCTGCGGCTCTGGGTGTAGGTGGCGGTGGGCGTGAGGCCCCGTGAGGGGTGCGCCCCCCTCCCCCGCGCGGGGGTGGGGTGTGTGGGCGGAGAGGCCAGTCTGTCGTTCTGGGTGTGCCGCGGGACCGGCCCTGTGCTGGGAGGCCTCTGGCGGTGAGATCCCGCGCTGCGCCCTAGCGGCCGACTCGCTTCCCCCGGGTCGTTTCGAGCCCATCCCCCTCGCGGTGGCGCGCGGCCACCCCCGCCTCCACCGCCGGTTCCGTGGCGTTGGTGTCACGTGGCCGCACACCGCCGGTGCCCCTCTCCGTCCGTCCGTCCGTCCGTCTGTCTCGGTCCGCTCCCCATCTGCTGCTCCCCGGGGTCGCGCCCTGGTGTGTCTCGCTTCCCCGGGCCTGCCGCGGCCCCGATCCGTTGCCCGCTTTGCCGCCGCCGCCTGTCCGCCGACGTCGTCGCCGGCTGGGCGAGGGGCAGCACCCGTGACCCCCCCAGCACAACCCCCGCCTCGTCCCCTGCTCCGATGTGCTCTCCCGAGCGCGGGTCGGGTCCCCGGTCTGCCTCCCGCGGGCCGGTCGCCGTGTCCTCGAATAAAAAAAAAAAAAAGAACAAAGAAAAGAGTACTCAGGATTCAATGAAGTACCGTTAGAACACTGTCTTTTCTAGGGGAGGAGGAGAATGCATACGTGTTCAGAAATAAAAACGTAAAATGTATTTTAGGGATGAGAGCAAGCGCCTAAAATCAGAAATGGAATAACTCCCAAGTGCCTGGTGTAATTAAATGAAAGAAAACGCTTTCAGTTCTCCTGAGGTATAATTGACAAAAACTGTATCTGTTTCACATGCACAAGTTGACGTGCTGATTTCTGTCTACGCTGTGAAATAGGTACTGCAGTCATGCTAATCATAATTAGCATGTCCATCAGCTCCTGCAGATCACCGAGGTCTGCGGGTCTGGTGAGGACACGTGCAGGCTCCCCTCTGAGCAGGACTGAGTCTACACCAGAGCATGGTCAGCTCCAGTCACGTCGCTGCCCATCAGGTCTCCAGGACTTACTCGCGGCGTCCCTGAAACGTCATTCCCCGTGACCCGTACCTCCCCGCTTACCCCAACTCCTGGCCTCTGGTGACTACCGTTCTCTCCGTGAGTCTGTTTTAGATTCCACAGGTCAGGGAGCTCCTGCTGCGTTTCCCCGTCTGTCTGCCTTACTTTACGGCATAATGTCCTCCGGCTTCACCCATGTCGTCTCAAAAGGAGGGATTCCCTTTTTTAAAGGCTGAGTGAGACTCCATTGTGCGCGTATGGCATTTTCTGTGTGCGTTTATCTCTTGACAGACAGCCAGGTTGTGGCCGCATCCTGCTACTGGGAACAACGATGCAGAACACGGGTTCAGAGACGTCTGTGAGGTCCTGGCTGCATCTTCTTTGGATACAGACCCAGGAGTGGAATTGCTGGATCGTATGGTAGGTAGTTTTAGATTTAGAATTTGAGGAAACTCCATACTGTTTTCCACAGTGGCTGCACTGACGGTGTCCCCAACGACCATGCACAAGGTTCTCTTTTCTCCGAGTTTGGCAGCACGTGTTGTCTTTTTCTTTTTCCTAGCAGTCAAGTGTCTGTAACACATGCAGTGACATCTCACTGGCTCTGATGTGTGCTCCCCTGAGGACTGGTGGATGTTGAGCACCTTCCCATGTCCTGTTTGGTCGTCTGGGCATCGTCTTTTGAGACACACATGTTCAGGTCCTTTGCCCGTTTAAACACCGGGTGGTTGTTACTTTGCATTGAGTTGAGTGAGCTCCTTGTGTATTGGAGAAGTAGCCCCTTATCAGACGTGTGGTTTGCACACGTCTTCTCCGTTGCATCCATTGCCTTTCCTGTGACCGTCTCCTGTGCTGGCAGGAGGTTTTATTTGCCGACCCCCCGGGTCTGTCTCTGTCTTTGCTGCCATATCCACAGAAGGCTTGTCCACACCCATGTCACGATGACCCCCCTGTGTTTTCTTCTGGTTCTTTCATGGTTTGAGGCCCTGTGTTTAAGTCTCTGTTGCGTTTTGAGATGATTTCACATGTAGTGTGAGCTGAGGGTCCAGCTTCCCCCTCCTGCCTGCTGTCATCTCGCTCTTCCAGCACCGTTTCTTGAATTCACTGTCCGTTCCCGTTCTGATTCTGGGCACCTTGTGGAAGATCAGTTCACTGAGCTGCTTTGGGACAATTGTTTTCCATAATAAGGGAGCTCTCAGATCTCCCGATTTCTAGCAGTCTCTGCGGCCTTGGGCAGAGTCACGGTTCCCGGTTCTCGATGTTTCTGTGGCTCTGCTTTGGTGTCTGTGCGCTGGGAGAAGCAACTGCCTCCTCTCGGACTTATGGTGGGATTTTGCCCCAGCCCAGTTAGGGATGCTGGAGCCTCGGAGACGTCTTCTGTGGACCTGCGGGTCTCTGGCCCTCCCGTCTGGGGAGACGATGGTGTGCCCCCGCCGCATCGTGCCCCTGCCCTGAGGGAGAAGTCTGAGGACCCCGTCCTCCTCTAACCCCCGAGGCCGAGCTGGCCGCGCAGAGCCCCGTCCCTTCTCTTCCTGCTTTGCAGCCCCATGCGTGTCTGCGGCCTGGAGCACTCATGAGCTGAGCAGTGAGGCGGTCTCTGAGGCCTGAGGTCTGCAGTGCCGCGGAGCCTGGGGACGTGCTGTGGCTGCACCCACTGTCCTCCCAGGGTGGATGGGGCCTGGGCCCAGGGGGGTCCTCTCAGCGCTGAGCTCTGCTTGCTGGAGGGGAGACCGGGACACAGAACCAGCTCTGTTTATCCTTTCGAAGTGGTTCTTCTTGGTTTTCTGCTCATCCGATATGTTGCAGCTCACTAGCTGGATTCTGCAGTTTACATAAAAGTCTTTTGGCCCAAATAATCCCGGTTTATGAGTGTGTCTGTGCGAGATGAGGGCTGGGAGTTCCCGATCTGCCATCTTGCGTAAAGCGCTGATTAAAATTTCTGAAATGTGTCATAGTGAGGCCAGAAATGGAAAATAGAAACGATAGTTAACTCGTATGTGTGCTACGTCGCTCAGCCGTGTCCGCCTCTCTGCGACCCCGTGGACTGCAGCCCGTCAGGCTCCTCTGTCCTTGGGACTCTCCAGGCAGGAATGCTGGAGGGGGTTGCCACGCCCACCTGCAGGGGATCGTCCCCACCCTGGGACGGAACCCAGCTCTGTCATGTCTCCTGCACCAGCAGGCGGGTTCCTCACCAGCAGTGCCAGCTGGGAAGTCCTGACAGCCCGCATGCACACACAGGGAAGGAACGAGAAGAGTAGGCAGGCGTCTGGCGCCGTTTCTGTTGAGGGAAATGCAGTGATGGTAGGCTGCACGCGGGCCTCCCAGGCGGCTCAGGGGTAAAGAATCTGCCTGCCAGCGCAGGAGATGTGGGTCGATCCCTGGGTTGGGAAGATGCCCTGGAGAAGGAAGTGGCAACCCACCTCACTGTTCTTGCCTGAAGAAGCCCATGGACAGAGGGGCCTGACGCGCTACTGCCCGTGGAGTCTCACAGAGTTGGACACGACTGAGTACACACACACACACACACACGCAGAGACTGCAGACCCAGACCACACCGCCTGCCCCACTCCGCAGACTGGCGTGCTCCCTCCCTCAGTTCTGACAGCTTGTGCCTGCGCTCTTTAGTGCTTTGTAAATGGAGTGTCATGTCCTCTGCATACGGGGCGGTTTTGCCTCTTTCCTGCCGCCAAGTTGCATCCTTGTTTCTTCTTGTCTGATTGCTGTGACTGGACTTCCCGTAGTATGTTGAACACAAATGATGAGAGTGGGCGTCCTTGTCTTGTCCCAGAGGTTTAGAAAGGCTTTTAGCTTTTTTCTTTGAGTACTGTGATGACTGTGCTTGTCATAAATAGCTTTTATTACATTGAGATGTCTTCCCTCTGTACTCACTTTGTGAGTTTTTATGAAGAATGGATGTTGAATTTTATCAATGCTTTCCCTGAACCTTTTAGGACGAGCATGTTGTTTTGTCTTTTCTCTTGTTGATGTGTTGATTCACATTGATCGATTTGCATATGTTGAATTATCCTTGTGACCCTGGTATGAATCCAAGTTGATCATGGTGTGTGATTCTTTCTGTGTGTTGTTGAATTTGGTTAGCTAATATGTTGTTGTGCGTTTTACATGTATTTTCATAAACAGCTTTGTTCTGTAACCTTTCTTTTTTGGTTGTGTCTTTGTCTGGTGTAGGTATCAGGGTGACGGTGGCTTCATAGAATGACTTTGGGAGTGTTTCCTCCCCTTCAGTCTCCTGGAAGAGTTTGAAGAGGGCCAGTATAAGCTCCTCTTTGTCAGTTTGGTGGAACTCCTCCATGCAGCCACCCAGCTCTGGCCTTTGGTTTGCACGGAGTTTTTATTGGTATGTTACAGATTCTGTGTCACTTCCCGTGGCCGCTCTGTTCAGGCTGTCTACGTCTTCTTGACTCAGTTCTGGCAGGCTTGTGTCTCTAGAGACGCCTGCATCTCTTCTAGGTTTGCTGTCAGATTGGTCAACACACAGTGGTTCGTAGTACTCTCTCATAAACTTTTGTATTTCTGAGGTATCAATTTTTAAAACTTAATTATTAATTAGTTTTGGCTGTGCAGGACTTCCTTGGTGGCTCAGATGGTCAAGAATCTGCTGCAATGTGAGAAACCTGGGTTCGATCCCTGGTTGGGGAAGATCCCCTGGAGGATGGCATGGGAACCCACTGCAGTATTCTCGCCTGGAGAATCGGACATAGGAGCCTGGCAGCCTACAGTCCATGGGGCCGCAGAGAGTTGGACACGCCTGAGCGAAAGAGGACAGTGCTGGGTCTTCCTGCGGCCCAGGGGCTTTTCCCACGTCGTGCTGAGCTCAGCGCAGCTTTTCTCTTCGCTGCGGTGCCTGGGCTCCTCGTTTTGATGGTGTGTCTTGTCGCAGGGCTGGGCTCTGGGCCCGCGAGCTCAGCATTTGCGGCCTGTGTGGGATCTTTTCCCAGCCCGGGTGGAACCCACGTCCCCTGCATTGGCGGCTGGATTCGTACCCACCAAGCCACCAGGGCAACCTGGTAGCAGCTGTTGTTCCTCCTGTTTCATTTCTTATTTTATTTATTTGAGTTCCATGTTGTTGCCTTTTGAATTTGATGTGATGGGATGGACTCCTACAGTTTTATTTCAGTTATTCACCATTATGCTTGAAAACTGACCTGTGTTACTCTAGCAGTCCACCTTTTTGAATTTTTTGTTTAAAATTCTGTTGCAGATATATACACCAAACCATTCATTTTGGTGAAAGTGATTTCTGCAATCTTTTCTACTGGGAACAACCCACGTGTCCACATTCTGCTTGCACCCTCGTGGCTGTGCACGCATCTTCCTCTAGGTTATGCAAGTGTGGACCAGCGCTGTGTCTCTGCTTTTCACTGAGAATTGCTGCCGACTCTCTAGGTTGAGCAGGGTGATGAGTACACCTGCCCGTGATATGCGGGATTCGTCAGAGTCAGCCTTGTCTCCTCCATCGTTTTCTCCTCCCCTCTCTCACAGATGAACTAGGAGGTGGGCATCTCATCTCAGGGAACCTGGGGCATGAAACTGAGGTGGAGACCATCCTATGTGACGTGTACTGCAAAGGACACATCTGTGCATGTGGGGCCATCGGTGGGGGTGGGTGGACCAGACTCGCTCCTCTGGGAAAGCCAGCCTGCTCCTTCCTTCCCACCCGGCATTTAGCCCATTCACCCGGGCTCCTGGAGGTTGGCCACGGAGAGCGTTTGCACCAAAGCAGACACACAGTTCACACGCCTGGGCTCTTTAAGAATTTATTGCCTGATGATTGTTTCTGTGCTGGGTCTGTGTGCACAGGGGTGTGTCTGGTTGTGATGAGCGGGGCTGCTCCCTCGCTGAGGCATCTGGGCATCTGCAACACTGGCCTCTCTGGCTGCGCGCGGGCTCCAGGACGTGCCAGCCTCAGTCACTGCGGCTCACGGACCCAGTTGCCCCTTGGCACGTGGGATCCCCCAGGATCACGGATTGAACCTGCGTCTCCTGCGTTGGCTGCCAGATTCTTCACCACCAGGGAAACCCCATATCAGCACTCTTTACAAAACGATATATTCCTGAGCTCATTTACCAGCGTAGCCCTGACTGTCACTTCTAGCGCCAGGGATCCCATCGCACTGACAGTGTTTCTGGAGAAACTACACGGGTGTCATCTGATGAGGAGAGGAGGGTGTCAGGGGCCCAGGGGGTTCAGGGAAGAATCTGGATCCATCTGTTCCAAACGGGGCCCCGCTTACACCCATTTATTCAGTTACTTAAACGACGTTCTGTTTCTGAGAAGGGATGGAGGTCATTGCGCACACCAGAGACGGCGGGCATGAACAATGAGGCTCACATCGTCCAGGATAGCGGACAGAGCCTGAGGGCCTGCAGGGTGAGGACCCGCCCCTGCCACTGGGATGCACCTCCGGCCGGGAGTGGGAGGAGCCGGGAGTTGGGGCGTCCTCCCCGGGAGGGAGGGGGGAAGCCCCGTGAGTGGAGGCCGAGCCCCCAGGTCCCCCTCCCCGGGACGCCTGGGCCTCCTCCTGCCTCCGCGGAGCGTCTTCCCCCCCGGGGTCAGAGGCTCTTTCTGAATCTCCCGGGCTGGACGCTCGTGTCGGGGGCTGGGGTGCTCTGGAAGGTGTCGAGGGGCCCTGTGCTCAGTTCCGGGCCGCGTCTCGGGCTCCTCCACGGTCGTGCCGAGCCTGGCAGAGCAGGACCCCGAGGAGCAGCAGGACTGAGGCCGCGAAGCCCATCCGGATGAGATTCTGCACCGTGTAGTCTGGGGTGAGGGCGCACAGGTCAGCGCCGGCACAAGCACCTGCCTCTCGGGAGAGGACGCGGCCCCGAGCCCAGCCCCTGACGGGGACGCTGTCCCCGTCCTCACTCTGGGTCTGACCGCGGTGATGGGGGAGGGTGTCGGGGGCCCGAGGGTCCTGAAGGGAGGCTGTGGGTGGGCCGTGTCCTCCTCGGGGAGCCTCCCGGGGGCAGGATGGGGTGGGGGCGGGCCTGCTCCTCCCCAGACTGACCCCCATCCCGCAGCCTCAGGCCCCTCCAGCCTGTGGCTCCCGCGGCATCTCTGCCCGACTCCCCTCCGGCCCATGACGATCTGAGGGGCCTTGTGCCCCCAGACAATCTCAAAGCGCCCTGGGGTGGGCTGTCTCCCTTGAGCACTGAGCCCTGTGACTCCCCAGTTGTTGAATTGGGGCCCGAGGGTGGGGGCTGGGCCCATGGGTCCTGGGAATGAGCCCAGGAAGGGGTGGGCTGGGCTGACCCGGGGACCCCACCTCACTGCCCTCTGCCCTGCACGGGCCTGTGGCCTCCCCGAGACCGTCCCGGACCCCAGTGCGTGAGGAAGGGGTGGGGTGTGAGCTCCGAGGCCCCTCCCTCAGGGGACCCCTCCCTCAGCACCCCCTCCTCCAGGACCTCCGGGGCCTCCCAGGGCACAGAGCCCCGAGCTGCTGAGTCAGACGGACAGACGGGCCTCACCTGAGACCAGGAGCGCCAGGGGCTCGCTGGGCCGTGACAGCAGGTGGGGCTCTGTGCTGAGTGCGCGGTAGCACCTGTAGGTGCCCCCGTGGGCCGAGCTCACAGGACTCAAGGAGAACTCGGCCTGGAACCGCCCGCCTTGATCCTGGGCGCGCAGACGCAGGGGGTGATGGGCTGCTCCCTCCTGGGACAGAAGGAAGGTGTCCGTCCCGTCTCCTGACTGACACAGCAGGGTCACGTTCTCCCCCGGGGCCACCGAGGGGCCCGGCCGTGCTGAGAGGGAGGGTCTGTCTCTGAGCCATCCTGCAGAGAGGAAGGGGGTGCGGGCCCGGCCCTGGTTCTGAGCGGGACTCCGCTGCCTCTCTGGACCCTCAGCGCCGTCTGTTTCTCCGAGTCTCCCCCTCCCCCACCCCATCTCTCTGTCCCCTCCCTGGGACCCCTCCCCCTGGTCCCAGCATCACCCCTGGGGCTCCCCGGTGGGGCCTGTGCAGAGTCTGGCCCCCGACTGACCCGCTGGCCCCTCACCTGCCACCAGGAGCTCCAGGGGGTCACTGGGGGCCGACCACTCGGAGGAGAGGCCGTGTCCACCGTAGCATCTGTACCGGCCCCCATGGACGGTGCCCACCGGGCCCAGGGGGAAGTCGGCCTGAGAGAGCCCCCCCTGGGCCCTCCGGGCAGGTCGCTGGGGGAGGTCCTGTCCCCCCTCCTTGGACAGAGCGAATCTGGCGTAGTCCATGTCAGAGCGACACTGAAGGGTCAGGTTCTGTCCAGAGGTGACGACAGGGCCCTGCGGGGTCAGGAGGGACGGCTTCCCAGACAGCCCTGGGGAGAGACAGATGCCAGGTTGTTGGGACCGCGTCCCCCGTGGACACCCTTCCCGGCCCAGCCCCAGGCCTCGCCTTCTCTGTCTGTGTGTCTGTCCTGTGACCACCACGCTCTCTCTCCTCCTCACGGGGCTCCCCTGGGAGCAGAGACCCCAGGACGTTGTCTTGTCTGCACAAATGTGGGGTCAGGTCGGGACTTCCTCACCTGAGACCAGGAACTTCAGGGGGTCGCTGGGGGCTGACCACACCCAGGGGGTGTCCCTGTTAAGGCCGTAGCATCTGAACGTCCACCCGTGTCCGGGGCTCACGGGGCCCACGGGGAACAGGGCCTGGGTCTGCCCGTTCGGGCTCCGCTGTCCATCCAGAGTCTGAGAGGACTCATTTTCTCCTTCCTTGGTCAGAAGGAACCTGTTAAATCCCTGACGGGAGCCACACTGCAGGGTCACGTTCCCTCCCGAGGTCACCACAGGGCTCGGCAGGGCTGAGAGGCTGGGTTTGTTGTAAGGTCCTAGGAGAGAAGGAGGCAGCTGGATCCCTAGGACTCCCCTCCACCCCCCGCCCAGGGCTGGGCTGTGAGAGGGACACCCCCTGAGAGCAGACCCCCTCCCGAGGGCAGAGCCTGAGGCCCCCGAGAGTCTCTCACCTGTCACCACCAGCTCCAGGGGGTCACTGAGCTCTGACCAGCGAATTCCCCTGAGATAGTAGCACCAATAGCGCCCTGTGTGCTGCTCAGTCATCAGTGAGATGGAGAACTTGGCCTTGTCCCCGGGCTCCAGGGGTTTCTGTCTGTCCCAGGGGACTGAGCTTCCCTCTTTATCCAGATGGAACTCCTGGGCCTCTAGGGGCCCCTGACACCAGATGGTCACGGGGCTCCCCCAGGGGACCACAGAGCCCGGCTCAGCCCAGATGGTGGGTTTGGGGGGAGCCCCTGGAAGGAAATCAGAGGCGGGCTCACCAGGGGTCTGCCCCCAGGCCCTGGCTCTCAGCCCAGACCTCCCAGACTCCCCCTCTATGAGCCCTGAGCTGCCCTCCCCTCCTCAGGGCCTCGGGGTGACCCTTGTCCCCAAGAGAGGAGAGAGCTGGGCCCTGGGGACAGACTCACCAGCCTGCACCTGGGTCCTCAGGCCCACACTCAGCCCTGGAAGAGAGAGCCCTGTGAGAGGTCTGCCCTCAGCTCTGAGCAGCTCCTCTCGTCCCCGGGAGCCTCCTGGGCCCTGGGGTCCCCTGATGGAGCAGGCTGGCTGGGTGGGGGGTCCCTCCAGTCCAGGGCTCCCCCTGCCCCTCCTCATCTCACCGAGGCAGAGCAGGGCGGGGAGGGTGGGGGCCATGGCGTCTCCTCCCTGCGGTCCAGGCCGTGAGGATGGAGGAGACCTGGGTGTCCTCCAGAGAGACAGAGCACAGGGTGTGTCCTCTCCAAGGCTGGGGCTTCCTGTCACGTGGTTGTCATATCAGCCTCCCCGCAGGAAGGGGAACAGCCTCTTCTTGAAAGCCTGGTGTCGTCCCCATGACAGTCCCAGTGTGTTCCTGAGACGCCCCTTCCAGATGAGGACGGCCAGGCTCCTTCCCTCTGCAAGCCTCGCCTCGGGGTCTGCTTCCTCCTCTGCCCCTCCATCAGCAGGTCCCTGGGGTTCCTCACTGTGGCCGGGTCACCAGGCCCTGGAGATGCTTCGGGGAGGATGCCGGCTCCTGCTGCCCTTGGGGCTGAGATCCCCAGAGACACATCGTTTTTTAATTGGAGGATGGTTCCTTCACAGTATGGTGCTCGTTCTGCCACACATCAACATGGATGGGCCATATGTGTCGCGTGGCCCTCCCTCTTGAACCCCCCCTAGGCTGTCACAGAAGCCTGTGTGGGCTCCTGAGTCACACGGCACGTCCCCCGGCGGTGTGTTTCACACGTGCTCTGTGTGTGTTTCCATGCTACTCTATTCCTCACACCCTCTCCTTCCCCGGTGTGTCCACAAGTCTGTCCTTTATGAGGGACGCACGTTCAGCGTCTCCCTGGGGCTCAGTTGAGTCCGCGTGGCCGAGAGCCCAGAGGAGATGCGCAGGGAATCAGGATGGAAACTGACTCCTCCCCTGCCCTGGAGTGGGGAGCCCCCCATCACAGCCCCCTTCAGGGGCGTCTCTCTTTACCCCATCACTGTCCAGCCCGCCTTGCTGGGAACAAGCCCCCGGGGGCTTCCTGCCTCCTCGGGGCCCCGGGGTCCTTGGGCACAGGCTCCTCCGGTCTTGCCATCACCTGCAGGCTTTCGGGGGTGTTGATTGGGGTCAGAGCTCTCACTCTGGTGGGAACAGATGTTCCTATAAACGTGTGCCCGCTGCTCATGGGACCTTGAGCGACGGTGCCCTTTCTCTGCGCCTGAGCTTCCTCCTCTGCATGTTATCCGAACCCCAGCCCTCAGAGGGGCTGTGGGCTCTTGCTGCCGTCATCACGGTTAATTTCCAGACGAGGTGACAGGAGAGGGTGGACGTGATGGGCTCCTGGCTCAGACTGCACCCAAGGGGGCGAGTGTGGTGCCCACCCAGAGCCTCCTCTGCTCCTGACGCTGAGACCTGCTCCGGAGAGTGTTTCTGCAACACGAAACCACAGACAAGTGCAGAAGAGAAGTTCCCCAAATGGAGAGGGAACCACAGCGAAGCGGGGAGAGGTAGGCGGTGTGGCCCCGGCAGCGGGGATCATCTCGGGGTCAGAGGGAGGTCCACCCGTGTGGACACAGAGAGGGACCCATCCTCACAGAAACATAAAGGGAGGCAAGCATGTGGATTATTTCGTAGAAGAACAGGCAGTTACTGAAAAGAGTCGAACAGTTTTGACGTGAACAATCCAGTAGATTCAACATTTTAAAAAAAGTCAGGCAGTCAAGCAGACAGCTGAGCGGCCACATGTGAAGTCGGAGTATAGCACTGAGGGAATGTTCCGGAATGCAGCAGAGAGCGCAGAAAGGCAATTCAGTAGAGGCGGGACTGTGCTGAGGGCCAGTGTGGTGTCTGTCTTAAGTGTCAGAAGCGAAGAAGCTCACGACAGACAGCAGTGGCTGAAGAAATGAATAGCGGAGCCTCCTTTCCTGAGGAGAACCGACCTGGGGAGGGCTGGGGCACATGGATGTACACGTGACACCCGAGGGCGGCCCTGCTGGGCCCGTGACTGAGACTCGGCGCTCCTTACTGAGGGTTAGGGTTCGATCAGGGCTCAGGGATCCAGACGCGGCACACTTTGGCCAAAGACCCCGCACCCTGCAACCGAGAGCCTGTGTGCCGCAGCTGTCAACAGGTGGGCTATTCAAAAGTAACATCTGTATCTTGACCTTTCATATAGATAAAATGAAGGTCAAATTTAAAAAGTATTTCCTACTGAAATGTACAATTTGAAACAGTTTATTCTAACTAAATTTCAGCTGAAAAAAAAAAAATGAAGGCGGATCGGACTGAGACCCTGAAAAGGCGTTCTTGCAAGGGGCGGAAGCCAGAGCTTCATGCAGAACACATCGCCAGCTTCCAGGAGGTTCTGTACCGCCTCCCGCTGTGGGCCGTGCCTCAGCCTCACAGCCGCCAGGTCCTGAGAGAGGAGGGCCCTGGGGGCCTGGATCCCTTAACCTTGACAAGTGTTTTCCTCTCCTTGTACTTGAGTCACCTGCTTGATTCAAAATAGGAAGTGTTCTCAAGTAACTTGATCAAAAGAGAATGAGTGTGAAAGAAGGCATTTCCAGAGGTGCACGTCCTTAGATGCTGACAGTTTTCACACGGGAAGCAATACTCAGAGATGGCAGAGAGACAGTGAGGTGCAACAGAGAGGAACGCGTGGCCGAGATGAGCTTTGGAAAGTTACACAGACACACTTGCACGCACAAACACACCCACACGTGTGCACAGAGACGTGCGCACGCCCACACACGTGTATAAGAGTATCCAGGGTTCTTCAACTGATCGATGTGGTGTGGTGGTGCTCTCCCGGGCCGGGCCTAAGCCGTGCCGGACGAGGGACGGGCGTTCCCAGTGAACGGGTCCGCTCTTCTCGGTCTGTCCGCGGGGCCCCTCGCCTGTCTTTCCCCCTTGCCCCTTGGGGGGTGTTGGGGTGGGGCCTCCGGCCCTGACCTTCGGTCTCCCGTCCCCCGCCTTGGGGTGTCTGGTGGGGCCGTTGGTCTTCGGACACAGCAGATGCGCCTGCTCGCCTTCCTGGCGTGTTGCCCCGCGAGCGGCCCTCCCCGTGGTGGGGAGGGCTGTGCCGCTGCCACGCCACACGCCCCCGCACGGGTGTGTGAGCGTGCCTCGATGGACCCTGGGCGGTGGCCCTGGCGTGCTCCAGGGCGTCCCTCAGGTGCTCGAGGCCGAGCGGTGGTGCCGTTTTCCCTTAACCCCGTGTCCTCCTCGGGTCCCCGCCACGGCGCTGTGCGTGTGTCCCATGAGCGGCTCTCTCTGGGTGGGAGCGGGTCGAGGCGGTGAGAGCATTGTGTGCTCCCCTCGTCGCGGAGGCTGCCCGATGAGGCCTTGCAGGGGGCGGGCGCGGGCTCTGCCCCGGCCCTGGCCGCGCACGCGCTCCTGTGCGTGGTCGTCCGCTTACCGGTACCGCAGACCCCTCCCGCCCAGTTGAGGACTGGCGGCTCCCGGTGTGCCTCCGTGTTGCCCGAAGGAGAGACGGCGCGCCCTCGGTGAGAAAGCCTTCTCTAGCGATCCGAGAGGGAGCCCCAGCCGCTGCCCCTCCCGAGCGCGCAGTGGCCACCGCGGCGACTGCCAGAGCACGTGGGCAGAAAGCTCCCCTCCCCTCCGTGGGAAGCGGGCTGATGGGTGCGCCGGCCCCGCGGTGGGGCCGTGTGCCGCTTGTTGCCTACTGCGGCCTGCGCCTCCCCCCTCCGAGTTGGGGGAGGGTCCCGCTGGGCCCCGCCGGGTGTCTGGCGAGTGGGGGGGCCGTGCGTGTGTGCTGTGTGCGCCAGGCCGCCCCGTGGTGTGAGCCCAGGGGGAAGGGGGTGGTCGCGGCGCGACGCCTGGTGGGCCCCGGCTCCCCCAGCCCCGCAGCCTTGGTGAGGGGGAGGAGCCTGTCGCGCCCGCCCTCGCCCCGGAGCCGCAGCCGGTGGCGGTGTTGTGGGCCCGGTCTGGGCCGCCTCGCTGGAGAGCGTGTCCCCAGGGTGTTGAGCCTCGGGGTCAGACTTGGATGGAAGATTGATCTGTCGTGGATGGATGGATGGATGGACGGATGGAGGAAGGTGGCTGGACGGCAAGCCGGCCCTGGCGGCGGGGCCGGGTTGTGGGGCCCGCTCCAGGGATGGCCGGGAACGGCCGGCGTCCCAGGCGTCGCAGGACCGCCCTCGTGTGTGGGTGGCGGTGGGATCCCGCGCTGGTTTTCCTGGTGGCCCGCTGTGTCCCGGTGTTTTCTGGTCCCCGGGCCGGCGCCCTCGCCCCCGTCCCGCGGCCCCTGCTGCGTCCACCGCTGCCGGCCTTCCTCCTCGTCCCGTGCGTGCGACCCCCTTGTCCCCTCCCACCCCCGTCCCCCGCGGTCTGGGACCGAGCTGGCCTCGCCTCACGTGGGTGTCGTCTCCCGGCCTCTGTCGGCCGGTGGCGGCCCCGGGTGGCGCAGTGCCCCCGGAGCCCTGAGAGGGGGCTGGGGCGGGCGGGGGGAAGCCTTCGGCGCACAGCAGGGTTGCGCGTGTGAGGGCTGTGGGGGCCGCCGGTACGCGGCGCGAGAGCGTTCTCCCGGGCCGGCTGCGGCTCTGGGTGTAGGTGGCGGTGGGCGTGAGGCCCCGTGAGGGGTGCGCCCCCCTCCCCCGCGCGGGGGTTGGGTGTGTGGGCGGAGAGGCCAGTCTGTCGTTCTGGGTGTGCCGCGGGACCGGCCCTGTGCTGGGAGGCCTCTGGCGGTGAGATCCCGCGGTGCGCCCTAGCGGCCGACTCGCTTCCCCCGGGTCGCTTGGAGCCATCCCCCTCGCGGTGGCGCGC